ATATATTAAAAGATTCTAGATTTAGTGATGACACAAATGACGTTTTTTTGGTGCCGTTGAAGTAATTGATATTCAATAATTAAATTTATTAATGGACTTTTATATACTACTAGGCAATTAAACAAGAGAAAGATGAAACTTGAAAGTGGAAGGAAGGAGTGGAAAGTGGGGGTCGAGCATTGTCCAATGCCCACATTCCATCTTAAATTCACAATCAATCTTCTTTCCTGTATTCCGTGTAAAAGGTTCCAGGGATGGACAAGGGGAGGCCACATCTGCTAGATATTGCTTCCTCTTTATCTCCACCTTTCTATGTGTTTTGCATTGCTACCTTACCCCACATACAAAGGCCAAAATTTTCAGCCTACCTATTTCCAATCATACCAACAACATTTGTCAAATCCTAGATGGAAAGGATCGAAAATCTAGCAACATAACAATCATCCTCTCATGTTTCAGCTCAAGGTTTATTGATTAATTGATTCACATGATTTATGTCTTGTAAAAGAATTAATGGGCATTAATTGCTTTGCCAAAACAGCTCCTTTGATTGATCCTGTTGGCAATCAAAGTAGCAAACACATTTCTCAGAATTTTACAGATTTAATTCAATCTATGAGAACATACAGGGATTCTGCAAAGTCTAGTTTTCTATTTCAATCAAAGTTACAGCAGCAAAGATGAGAAAAAGAGAAGCCTCTGATGTGGGCAATCGCCTGCACGATCAAAAGAAACCATCATTACTTCCAGAAAATTAATATGCTTTCAATGCTCAAGAGATCACAGGAAAAAGATAAGTGATTGGTTGCATTTAAGGGTAAGAAGATTTCCCACTAACACAAGCAGCCCCATGAGTGCCCCACTGTCTTGATACTCTTGACTTAGTCATATGGGACAACTTGAGTGTGGTGGAATGTACATGTTGGCCCAACCAATGCATGCCTCTTTGAGGCATAAATACCAAATAGGATGCCTACTTTACATTCCTGGACTAGATGATTTGTACCAAGGAATCAATCCATCTACTGCATTACTTAGTCAGCAAGTCATAAATTGGTGAAACTGAAATTCCTTTTACATGCATTACATATATTCTATAACAAAGAAAAATCGATTCACTGAATCCATATGATGATTAAATGCCCTCCCTGTATATGAAATCTTAAATACGAGAAGTTGCAATAATTTTTCAATTATTAGGTTCTTGATGCTCAAAAGAAAAAGTTTGAAAAACTTTTGACGGTACTAGTTCATGGAATATCATTTCAATGTTAATTAGAAATTATTCCAATTAAGTTCAAATTTTAATGCTGAAAAATAAGCTGGTGTGAAAATGTAAGTAACAGAAATCAAGTTGGATTACCTAGGCAAGAACTAAGAAACTATTCCGCTTTGTTGATTAAGAAAGTTGAAAGTTCAAATTTTACCTCTAATAAGAATGCCCCTAGTAAAAAACTACCCAGCACAACAAGCCGTAGAAAGTATTTGTTACATTTTTGTCGTGCAACTATGATGATCAAAAGAGGCAATATTAATTAATTTCCAAAAGGCATGAAATGTAAAGTCTGAGTAGTTGTCAAGCATTCCATCAAACTACTCTGCATAATAGTGACTGGAGGTTTATGTCAAGTACAAATCAGAAAAGTTCGGGAGCACTAGGAGCATTTTTAAAATTGGGCAATTGTGATGATGCATAAATACAGCCTAGTAATGTCAAGAAAAAATAAAAAACGAATTCAACTTGCAAATTCGATGACGTTTTAGCATGTTATTTGGAGTTACAAAGGAAGGTTCAATGTCCTTAGTGCATGTTACGAGAGTAGCTAGACCATGGCCTACCAGTGCTCCACCAATGATCCAAGAGATGAAGAAGCTGCTGCAAGTGCTGCACAGGTAGAGAGAAACACCATAACTTCTTCACTTGTTTAAGCAAATTTTGAGGGTTTTTTTTTTTTTCATAGATATATTAGGACACGTAATTTGCTTTAAAAATATAAATAACTTTTGGCTAGAAGATTGTAAAGATTGACTTTTCAAGTATTTGACATGTATATTACCTAATGATTCCAATCAAATGGAAGGGTGTTTCTTCTTTCACACTGTTACCTAATGATTCCAATTATTCTAATGATTAAGATGGAGTGGTATTTCTCTTCAAGTGTGAAAGAAGATAAAAATGAATATAGCCTCATTCAGAGTCAGATGCTCTAAACCAATTTTATATTAATTCAAAGAAGGTCATTCTAGACTTGCACATCATAATTCCAGCCATCTTATGGTGGACAAACCATCTCTGCCATTCAGATGGCGTAGCAAGATGGAAAAGTCATACAGACATATATAGAGCCTTTTCTTCAGTGACCTATTGTGGAAAAAATGATTTGTCATCCCATTCAGCAACAAAAACTAAGAGGAAATCGCATATGAAAGTGTTAGCAGCAGCTAAAATCCCAGCTCCATTTCCTGAAAATTCTGAAACCGCTAGCCCCGCCTAATAGTTGGGAACATCTAAATGAAATCTAGTCCGCGGAAAAATATTGGAAAAAAGAACTATACTTGCACAGGTTTCTGAATGGAAATATCGAGGGAAGTACCTAAAGGGAAGGACTTCATCAACATAGTGAAAAGTGTGTCCAAGGACAACAGATATGATAGCCATCGTACGTCCTGCACAAGTGCACATATGCATAATTACTTTTAATTATGGGCAAAAGTTTTCTATTTAAATAGTTTATAGGTTATAATTTTAACAGCCAGAAAGAAGACAATAGTGAGGTGAAAAGTCATGTATGTATGTATGCCAATGGAAAAGAAAAAAGTATATAATCAAAGAAACAAATTGTAAAATGTTTTGGTAGTTAAGAAACCTTACCATGCCATTCCAACTAAAACCCAAACCAGTCTTTATATGTGTTTTGACACTCATCTGCGGATAAGATTTGTTATTTCCATCTAAAAATGAAAATCCAAAATGTGTTCTCAACATGTATGTAAATATTCTTGAGTTAGTCATACAATTTGAAACAATATGAACGTAATTGCAAGTTTACAATGGCGAAACTAACTAACCCCCCACAATCACCCGACTAATTGATAATTCAAAAGCAAGTTTTGTGAGCAAGAAAATGAAGCATTGCGCCTGGGAAAATTGAGAGTTTGGTGGCGGGGAGAGCGCTGCTTGGATGAGTGGGTCTTGGAGAGAGAATTAACGTTCAAAGAGAGCAAATGCGAAGGGGTTTAAGAAGCGGTTTGCAAGCGGGAAAGGGCAACCAAACCGCCTTCTGCTACCGTTATGCCTTGCACTCTCTCTCCCACTTAATATTCATTGTCACTGCTTCTCTTCTCTTCTCTTCTCTTCTCTTCCGTGGATCTCTACTTCCTTCAGCTATCTGGGTATACAGCGGCCTACCAAAAAAAAAAAAAAAAGGAGAAAAAACAAAAAGAAAAAAAGAACTATCATCGGAATTGGATCAGATGGTTTGTCTGGGCTTGATCTTGGGCTTCGAATAATAACATTCTAGTACTTGTTTAGGCCCAAATACTGTATTTTATCTTATTGTGTAGAACAAGGTAACTAGTTGAAAGTCGAAACTCCTATTATAAATAGAGGTGAGTAAGGTGATTGACTGTGCGAATCTTGACTATAAGAGTTAAAAATTATATTTTTACCAATAGTTTCAGCAGTTACTCTAGACTCCACATGCCTTTCACAATTTTTTATTCCTTTCTTTTCTTTGATAAATGGCAAACTTTATTGTTTAATGAAATTGATCATTACATATTGCTCTCGAGAGAGTTCCAAACAAAATGCCTTCCCATGGTGGAGGAGGAGTTTGCAATTGTGGAAGAATATGAGCTAATCTATTACATTCTCTCTTTACATGCTGGAAAGAAAGAGAATCAAAATGACGTTTTT